CTTTTCAGATAGCTGTTATCCTCTTGTCAAAAGTTGGTTTTTTTAGTTTTGGTTTTATTACAGGTATTTTTTTCTTTATCGAGATGGAGCTTTGCTAGGTTTTAAGTTGGATCCGAGGCCTTGTGAATATCTCCCGTGGCCACCTGAAAATGATTTCAAAATTAGTCATGTACAGGTACTATTTTTCTTTTTGACAAACTGCTCCTTTTTTATAAAATCTTATTTTTGTGTTTATTTAGATCCTAAGATCAAGCAAGAGGCCATCTGGTTTCAGTGTTCGGTGTATGCAATGTGCAGCAAATGAAATGATTATCAGAAGGTTTTGCGCAAATAATGTTGAGGATCGAGATAGATGGATCAATGCGATGACGGTAATTTTAAAACTTACTTTGTATTGACATCGGTGGTTTCATACGATTTGGTTTTCTTCAGGAGAAGACGTCTGGTTTTACACGTAACACAAAATCAAATGGTTGCTTTTTAGTCAGCTGGCTAAAAATTAGGTCCTGGATTTTAGGCTGTCAATGATTCGCTGGCTAAAGTAGAGAGGATAAAGAACGGAAGTGGTGGTGAAGTACTTCATAGACACGAACCAATGGATACGTCTGATGGCTCTGATGTTTCCACTTCCCAGCCCCTGAACCCTAGTGTTTGTGATTTTGATAGCTTGGAAAATGGCGATTGTGGTATTATTCCTTTGGGAGAAAATATGAAAGCAAGTCCTAGTAATGAGACGGAAAGAGCATCTTCTCCCAATGATGCTAATATTGCTTGTAGTATCAGGTCTTTGGAGTTAAATACAAAGACCGCAGGAAAGGTTGGAAGGGTGAGTTGCCTGCAGTTGTTCTAAGAATACATATTAAATCCTAAAATGTTAATTTTTTCAATGATTTTAGGGGCTCGACTCTTTTGACTTCTTGAAAGTGTTGGGTAGAGGAACTTTCGGGAAAGTTATTTTATGTCGTGAGAAAAAAACACAGAAGTTGTATGCTCTCAAAATTTTACAAAAGAAGGTCATAGTTGAGAAGGTGAGCTGTTTAACAACAAGTTTTTTCAGAGATGGACATTTTAAATGACATTACTTTTATATTTGACGTTTTTGAAGTTGCGATTTTGTCTGAAACTTTTTTCTTTCTCGATGCTTAATTTGGTGGTGTACCGTATTTAGGATGAAGTAGAACATACACTTGCGGAAAATCGTGTTCTTCACAACTGCAAGCACCCTTTTCTGACGGTTGGTTGTTGGTATTTAAACTCAGTCTTAGTTATCTGAACAAGTTTATCCTTGTTTTTTTTTTAGCGCTTGGAAGCTAGCTTTCAAACTCGACATCACCTGTGCTATGTGCTGGAGTTCGCTAACGGCGGAGAGCTATTTTTTCATTTGCGGCAGAATAAAACTTTTAGTGAGTCACGTACACGTTATTATGGGGCAGAAATACTTTTAGCTTTGGAATACCTACATGATCGAAATATAGTTTACCGTGACATGAAAGTATGTTTTGGGACTTTTATTGAGAAATGTCTTATTTCTTTACCATATAAATTTCCTCAAAGATTTCCCACGTCATTTAACATTTTGTGTCATTCATTAAAAACCTCTATAGTTTATTCTGAGTTTTTCGATGATGGAATTCCGAGGCTGTATACTTTTTTAATTTTTAGTTAGAAAATCTTCTTTTGGACAAAGACGGTCATATAAAACTTGCCGACTTTGGGCTATGTAAGGAAGGGATAAAATTCGGCGATACAACCGTTACTTTTTGCGGAACGCCTGAATATTTGGCTCCAGACGTATGCTTTTCGCATTCTTCTGTATTGCTGGTTATAGCAGGCGCAGAGATGCAGATTTCTAGAGACTGGGTTTAAATAATTATTTTTGATGGTCTTGTGGTTATTTGGCTGTTGCGTGCTAGAGTGTGCAGTATTTGTTAGTTATGTGGTAACAAAGATTTCAGATTCTTTTTAACTACAAATATGGACGGGCTGTCGACTGGTGGGGGCTTGGTGTTGTCATGTACGAAATGGTATGCGGTAGACTCCCTTTCTTCTCCCACGACCATGAGAAGTTGTTTCACGCTATAATGTATGCCCGTCCGCGGTATCCATCTAGACTCTCGCGAGAGACGCATGATCTTTTTGAAAGGCTCCTCGAAAAAGACTCACATAAAAGGTTTTGGTAATCAATGGACATTTATTACCAAGCTAGTGCGCAGAGTTGTCTAATCCATTTTTTTTTAGACTAGGCGGCGGACCTGATGATGCCAGGGAAGTAAAAGCGCACTGTTTTTTTCGGGGTGTAGATTGGGATAGGCTTTTTAGAAAGGAGTATCCTCCTCCATTTCGCCCACTTGTCACATCAGAAACTGATACGTCGTATTTTGATGAGGTTTGTGTGATTTTCGATGCTGCTTTATTGGGTTTTAACACTTTCCAACTTTTCTGATATCTCGTTTGCTTTAAGGAATTCACCAGTGCACCGGTTCAACTTACTCCACCAGCGTCGAAGAAAGGGCCGCTTGAAATGGACACTGATGTAGATGATTTTGACGACTCAGCTTTTGATCAGTTTCCATTTTGCGAAGATTCTGCGCGTTTTACTCGTAATTCAGTCAAGTCAGGAGAGGTGGAGTAGTGTAAGGCATTATAGCTTTACCTGATTGTTTTTAAAGTCGACAGTTTTTCGCAAAGCTTGTCTGCCTGCAACTTCCTATTAGAAAACAATTGGTGACGGATAAATTGCTCTTGCCTTGCCAGTTTTTCTCAACTTCATTGCTTGTTCGTCAAGCGAGGAACAACGTATCTCCTTGGCGAACAAGAAGTTACTGTAAAAATTGCTACTTTTTAGTTTTTTACTTTTTTGGTTTCAAAAGATTTCCATGCAGTTCCACTAGTTTTTGTTTGTCTTATTTAGATTGCTATCAGTATTTATGTATGCTCAAATTTGCTTTCTGGTCTCATTTTGCTACTAGTTTCATAATAAGTTGTGTTGTCTACAGAGCACTTGTGTGTAATTGCGTTATCACTCACTTGCCAATGTATCATTTTGTTTTATATTTTCTTTTTAGGTCGCAAAC